TGGTTCTTCCATCTCTTTTTCTCGTCCCCCTAGGGCTATCCCTGGCTGCTTCCTTTTATAACCACAAGGAGGGAGTCAGGAGTACATGAGTGAACTACACGTGGAGCCTACTGTAGTTCAGTCCTATAGCAGCATGGTGTTGGGAATGGCGATTGGTACTTGACTGACGCGCCGTGTTGGTCGGGCTTGAGGTTGTTGAGGTCATGGGGGGTCCTTGTTGATGTCTAGTCAGTATGGCCTCCACGGCAGGAGACATGCCATGCCTTGTGGATTCTTGATTTGGTGGAGCGCCGAGGCCTAGCGGGTGCTGTAGCTGATCGCGCCGAGGCCTGCTTTGCCGAGGCCTCGGAGGTGACCGAGGTATGGTACGGGGGTCTCGGCGGTCCACGTCGTACTCGGTCTAGGTGGAAAAGTGCGGAGCGGATGTCCACAGGGCACGGTAACCCCTGCACCGTCAGTAGGGGATGGTAAAAAAGGAGATTTGACCGCCGTCCCATCGCCCCTGTTGCTGTACCCTGCCCATCGTGGCTATCATAGTAGGTGTGACTAGGCGCACTTACACGGATGGGACGGCTCGCCAGAGGAACTGCTGAGGCGGAGTCGACGAGGATGCAGGACGAGCTCGGTCTCGGCCGAAGCGGAGAAAGAAAAGTACGTCCAAGGCCCTGCCGGGGGGTCTCGGACGAGGCAGAGGACGAGCAGTTGGGCTTTCCCGCTGTTTTCGAGACTACAGGGACACGGACTTGACCTTCCACGCTGCTTTGTCCTTGGCACAGGGGTTAGGTAGCACAGGGCAGTACAGGTGTCAGCAGGGGGCGCAGTGATGAGCACAATGGCAGGTAACCCCTGCTGCGCCCGGTCCCCTATCCCGTCAGTCGTTCTGCCCGAACTGTGCCAGTGTGCGGCTGACATTGCGGGAGTAGTTGGGCGTATTAACCTTGACGTGACGTTTTGTCAGAGGAGCCGGTTGGGGTGGAGGTGACGAGGTTGTTGCGGAGCCCAGCCTCAGGCGAATCGGAGAATTGGCATCCCATCCGAGGCCTTGCGGGGCGGAGCCTCGGCGAGAGGGCCTCGGTGGGGCGGAGGGCTTTGGCCTTTCATCTGAGGCCTCGGCGCAAGCCTCGGGCGAATCGGAGAATTGGCCGAGACCTCGTGGTTGTCCTTTGGTTTTGATTTTTGCAAGGTTTAAGCAATATTTTCGGTTATGCTTAGGGTACCCCTTCTTGTGGTATCCGACAAGTAGCTACTCTCTAGCCACGTCTTCACTGACAAGGGGGCGGAGCCAGTCCTCCTGGACCGTCTCCTCGACACCTACGCCGACGTGTTCGCGGAGCCCACCGGACTTCCGCCCACACGCCCCTGTGATCATTGGATACACTTGAAGCTCGACACCGACCCCGTCGCCATCCGCCCCTACAGGTATCCCCACCTCTAGAAGGATGAGCTGGAGAAGTAGTGTGAGGCGATGCTCTAGCAAGGGGTCATACGGGACAGCACTTCCCCCTTCTCCGCGCCGGTATTGCTTGTCAAGAAGCAGGACGGGACTTGGCGCTTCTGTGTCGACTACAGGTCACTCAACGCTGTGACGGTGAAAGACAAGTTTCCGATCCCAGTTGTTGAAGAGCTTCTGGATGAGCTCCATGGCGCTAAATTTTTCACCAAGTTGGACCTCTGTTCAGGTTATCACCAGGTCCGCGTCGACCCCGCTGATGTGGAAAAGACGGCGTTCCGGACACACCACGGCCACTTCGAGTTTTTGGTCATGCCTTTCGGCTTGTCCAATGCGCCTTCGACGTTCCAGGCACTCATGAACCTCGTCCTCAAGCCGTTCCTATGACGCAGCATCCTCGTCTTCTTTGACAACATGCTCGTATACAGTTCCACGTGGATCGAGCACCTACAACATCTCCGCGCCGTCCTGGATGTCCTCCGCGAGCACTGGCTGCATCTCAAGAGGTCTAAATGCTCTTTCGCTACCTCGTCGGTCCACTACCTTGGCCATGTCATCATGGCTGAGGGGGTGGCCATGGACATGACCAAGGTGGCGGCTGTACAGTCATGGGCGCAAGCCGTGTTCGGTGCGTGGCCTTCGTCAGGTTCCTCGGTCTAGCCGGCTACTATCGCCGGTTCATCAAAGACTATGGTACCATCGCTGCCCCATTGACACAGCTCTTGCGCAAAGAGGGGTTTCGGTGGTCAGAGGCCGCCGACGCAGCATTTACGGCCCTTAAGGCAGCGCTGTGTGCGACGCCCATGCTCCATCTCCCGAACTTCAACACCACGTTCATCATCGACTGCGATGCGTCCGGCTCCGGCTTCGGAGCCGTCCTTCATCAAGACGGGAATCCCATCGCGTTCTTCAGTCGGCCCTTTGTGGCTCGGCACCTCAAAGCGGTGGCGTACGAGCGAGAGCTCATCGATCTCGTCCAAGCGGTCCACCATTGGCGCCCTTATCTTTGGGGGCGCGCTTTCGTCATCCAGACTGATCACTACGCCCTCAAGTTCATGCTCGACCAGCGGCTTTCAACAATTCCACAACATCACTGGGTGAGTAAATTGTTCGGGTATGATTTTAGGATTGAGTACCACCCGGCAAGGCGAACGTGGTGGCTGATGCGCTGTCCCGCTGCGACGGCGACACCCCACTCTTGGCGGGTCTCTACGACACTGATGCGGCATCCCTAGTGGCGCTCTCGGCTCCAACATTCGGCTCTTCGATGACCTCCGCCAGGAGCTGGACACCAACGCCACGTTGCGCGCGTGACGCCGTGGCTGCCGGTGCGCATGGGGCCTCCTGGACCATCCACGAGGGGCTCATACTCCATGATGGACGCATCTTCGTGCCTGCATCGTCCCCGCTCCTGGACGACGTCCTCCAGCTCGCCCACATAGGAGCCCACGAGGGCATCCAGAAAGACTCTACGGTCGGCTCTGTGCTGAGTTCTACGTCGAGCATGATCGGCGCGTCGTCGGCGACTTCGTGCGTTCCTGCTCCACGTGCCAGCGGAACAAAACGGAGACGTTGCACCCCGCGGGACTGCTGCAACCCTTACCAGTGCCCTCGCGAGTCTGGGCAGATATCTCCCTCGACTTCATTGAGGCGCTGCCCAAGGTCCACGGTAAAAGTGTTCTCCTAACCGTGGTTGACAAGTTTTCGAAGTATGCGCACTTCATTCCATTGGGCCACCCCTACACGGCGTCGTTAGTGGCGCAAGCTTTCTTCCAGGACATCGTGCGCCTCCATGGATTTCCCAAGTCCATCGTCAGTGATCGCGACCCGGTCTTCATGGGGCATGTGTGGCGTGATCTCTTTCGCCACACCGGCGTCCAGCTTTGGATGAGCACTGCGTTCCACCCACAGACAGACGGGCAGTCCGAAGCGGTGAACAAGGCCATAACCATGTACTTGAGATGTCTCACTGGTGATCGCCCTCGCGTCTGGTTCGACTGGCTGCCGTGGGCGGAATTCTGTTACAACACCGCATATCACATGACGCTTCAGACTACTCCGTTTCAGGTGGTCTACGGACGTCCTCCGCCCGACCTGCTACCGTATGTTCCAGGGGAGGCACGCACGGAGGTCGTCGACACCATGCTGTCCAACCGGGATGAGTTCTTGGATGAGGTACGCGCTCGCCTTCTCCAGGCGCAGGAGTATGCTCGTCGCTTCTACGATGCCAAGCACCGTGCCCTGGAGTTTGCCATCGGGGACTGGGTACTGCTCCGCATGCTTCATCGACACATGCAGTCCCTAGCCCCTAGCGGTCGCGGTAAGCTGGGGCCCAAGTATGCTGGCCCTTTCTAGGTGATTGAGCGGGTGGGCGAGGTGGCCTACCGGCTTCGTCTTCCGGAGGGCGTCCGGATTCACGACGTCTTCCATGTCGGGGTGTTAAAGCCATTCCATGGTACACCGCCGACGTCTGAGCCTGTGCTTCCTCCACTTCGCCACGGCCGACCTCTCCAGCGACCGGAACGCATATTGCGCTCTGAACTTCGTCGTGGCGTCTGGCATGTCCTCGTCGAGTGGTCTGGCATGTCTGCGTCTGAGGCTATGTGGGAGCCGGTTCCTGCATTCCAGAAGCTCACCCTTCCTTCCAGCTCGCGGATGAGCTGTTTCCTAAGGGAGGGATAGATGTTATGATGGGGAAGACTTATGCAAGGCGCAACAACAGAAGGGCCTGAACCGTGTTGTATTCAGGCCCATATAGAGTCTTAGCAGATTTGTGTTAGAGTCTTAGAAGATTTGATTCAGATTTATAGCAAGAGTTAGTTAGCGTCAAGGGTTGAGTTGTAAGGACTATAAGAGTCCAACTTCATTAAGGAAACGATTAGCTTGGGATTGTGACTTCAAGTCACCCTTGGGTGCCCGGTGTCCCTACTGTTCATTGTTATCTACTGTTCACCATCATCTCTTGCCGCGCAATCACGGCTCCAGTCCGCCGAACCCTCACACGCTCTCACGCACCTAGATCTCCTCCGTACTTCCTTCGAAACAAAGCCCACCGTCATACCAGCAGACCACATCCAACGTCCAGCAGACGCGCGCGAGATGATCCGACGGACACAAAATCCATGTGCCAACAAACAAAAAAAACACACATGTGTTATATAGCATTCCTGTAATTATATTGTATTTTATTTTTATTTATTATTGTATTCTTGTGTAGGCTCCCCCTCTCCTCTGTCTCCTGCACCGCCCGCCGCGCCGAGCACGCCTCTCCACCCTCCTTCCCCCCTTTCCTCCCCCTCTCCCTTCCTCTCCCTGCCTCGATCCAGATCCACCCCATACCTCCGCCGCGCCACCCTTCTCCCTCCTCTCCGCTCCTCCCAGGCGGCGTCGGCGCGGGCCGGAGATCCCTTTCTCTCCCTCCGTTTTCTCCGGTAAGAAAGATCCTTGCTTGCCTGATTTGCTCTGCTATTGCGATCGCTCCAAGATCAAATCTTTCTTGAGTGCGTACACTCTATTTCCGATTTGTTTGACGCTCACACTCCCCTGGTAGGCGCATATATGGGTTCGAAATCCGTAGACGAGGTGCTCGATGCCGCCGCCGCCGGAGTCCATTACTCCGCACTCCGTCTGGACGGCCTCAACACCCAGGTTTCGGCCGCATCGTACGAGGAACAACCAAATGAACCAACGACGTCTGGCCTCGAGAATGGCCACCAGGAGCCCTTTGTTATTGGTCAGTATATATACTTATACTTGATTGATTGATGTGATGGAGTCTCTCTCTCTCCCTATCTTTTTTTCTGCGCCTAGCCTAATAATAATTTAGTAGGATGTATGCCAATTGATGAGTATAGTATGGCGTAGCCTGTTGGCCATGAATGCGGCATGCCCTAATGCGGTTCTGGGTGCAGGTGTTGCTGGGGGTGCATCGTCAGGCAAAAGTACCGTGTGCAAGATGATCATTGATCAGCTCCGGGACCAGCGTGTTGTGGTTGTTACGCAGGTTTGTGCATTACTGCTTTGGTCTCATCTTGCAGCATATGTGCATTCTACCAACATACTTGTTCAACATTACTGACCAAAACAGCATGGTACTGCATTGGTAGGCACCAAACTATGCCCTCTTCATGCTAGATTATCACATTGCCATGTCACACTGTTTCCAGTCTCTTATAGCTACAAGCAATGAGATTACAATATTTGCAGGAGTCCTTTTATTATGGATTGACGGATGAAGAATTAGTCCATGTCCATGATTATAACTTTGATCATCCAGGTCAAACTCATCCTTCCACAAGAATTATATATATACTGTCCTACTAGTCCCTAGAGTTCTGCACTGAATATGCTGTTGTATCTTTTCCTATTTCAGATGCATTTCATACAGAGCTACTTCTCTCTTGTATGCAAAACTTGAAACGTGGCAAAGCTGTCGACATCCCTAATTACAACTTCAAGACATACAAGAGTGTCCCAAATGCAAGGAAGGTAATATTTTAAGTTCAGTGCAATTCATAATAATCAACCTGCATGGTAAACTGATTGTTCCTTAGTCCTGGGCTTTATGAGACTCTGAATACAACATTACATTTTTATAAACAATATGTGCACATTGTCCTTAAGAAGTTATGTGACAAAAGGATACCACAGAAGCTAAAAGGCAAGTTTTATAGGACGGTGATTAGACCTGCTATGTTGTATGGTGCAGAATGTTGGCCTACGAAAAGACGACATGTTCAACAGATAAGTGTCGCGGAAATGCGTATGTTGCGTTGGATTTGCGGTCATACAAGAAGGGATCGAGTTCGGAACGATGATATACGTGATAGATTAGGGGTAGCACCAATTGAAGAAAAGCTTGTCCAACACCGGTTGAGATGGTTTGGACATGTCCAACGGAGATCTCCAGAGGCACCGGTGCGTAGTGGAATCCTAAGCCAGGATAGTAACGTGAAGAGAGGCAGAGGAAGACCGAAGTTGACTTAGGTAGAGGCAATAAAACGAGACTTGAAATGATGGAATATACCCAAAGACTTAGCCTTAGATAGGAGTGCTTGGAAAACAGCTATTCACGTGCCTGAACCTTGATTGGTTCTGCTGGGTTTCAACTCTAGCCTACCAAAACTTGTTTGGGATTTAAAGCTTTGTTGTTGTTGTTGTCCTGAAGAAGTTACATTGCTTTCATGCATTGTATGGTCCCAGTAATAACCTGCTCCAGTTTTTTTTTTTTTTTTTTTTTTTTTTCTTGCAAAAAACTATAATTTATGTTAAGTACTGGACACACTATTTGCTATTTGGGCAACAGCTTATTTCTTCACATTGATTTCATATTGTACATTTTTTTCAAAACGAAAAAAGTTTGTTTTCTGATGATTTGTTTATGTTATTTATTCATCTATGTAATACTTGATTTTTACAAGCAACCCTAATTTAAAACTGTCGCCAGGTTAATCCTTCGGATGTTATTATTTTGGAAGGAATTCTAGTTTTTCATGATTCGCGCCTCAGGGATTTGATGAACATGAAAATCTTCGTTGATACAGGTACCAATATTTGCTTATAAGTTGATGATGCTTTCTTCTGTCTCTCTTGCCTGTCGATATTCCAGAAGTTCCCAATGCACAAGCATTGATTCCTGGCTATTTTCTGAACTTGAAATGTATCATTGTTAATAATTTCCTGCCCTCTTTTTATCCAAAACTTAATTCTATGAATCCTTTCATGCATGAGTTCATTTGTGTGGATACTTATATTTTGAGTCATTCATGTTAACTTGATGCACAATCTTACTGAGCTGACATAGCATTAAAGATTTTTCTTTTGTCCAGAATTCTCAGATTTTTTTAATGCACAAACTGCATATTTTGTGTTAGATCAGGTTACTTATTTGTTAAAGATGTCATCAAAGATTACTTAAATTATCAATCCAGATCTACTGATTGGTTATCATAGCTTTTTGCTTCCGTACCATATGTTGAACATAGTACTCTGTCAGAGTAGTCTATAGGCTTTCAAAACTCACTAATCAGTGTCATGGTAGTTAAGTATTTCTTGTTATAACACTCAATTATTGATTTCTCAGATGCTGACGTACGGTTAACAAGGAGGATCCGTCGTGATACCATTGACAAGGGTAGAGATATCAAAGCTGTGTTAGATCAGGTTACAAAGTTTCCTCTTGCAATTTTTGTTGTGCATCAAATCTAACAACATTTAGCGGATCTTGATTGTATAGTACTTTTATCTAATATAATATTCTTGTGTTGTTGCATAATATACATTAAGCTTTCTGTTATCTACACATTCTTGCTGTTTTTGGCTAATAAAACTCTTTTCCACAGTACTCAAAATTTGTTAAGCCTGCTTTTGAAGACTTCATCCTCCCAACGAAGAAGTATGCTGATATTATCATCCCACGAGGTGGAGACAATGATGTGGCAATTGACCTAATTGTTCAGCATATTCGGACTAAACTTGGACAACATGATCTTTGTAAAATACACCCCAATTTGTATGTAATTCAGACTACTTATCAGGTACCTAATGTAAACATTCATTTTTATTTTTATAAATCTGCTTGCTGTTTGATGTCCCTGTAGTTTGTATGTTCTCCCTCCATTCCAAATTGTAAGCTGTTTTGGCTTTTCTAGTCATAGCATATATCTAGGTACATTAACAAGTACTATGTACCTAGAAAAGCCAAAATGACTGCAATTTGGATTTTGGAACGGAGGCAGTAATATGCAATTCTGTAATGGTTATTTACTGTTTTGTATAACTATTTCATTGTTCATGCTGTTTTGTTTCAGATACGAGGCATGCACACAATAATAAGGGATGCTGCCACAGCAACACATGATTTCATATTTTATGCTGATCGGTTGATTCGATTGGTCAGTATATAAATGTATTTGATGAGTTATCTTTTATGTGGGTTTGCATGGTATCTTAAAACTCCCTGTGGAAAATAGGTTGTCGAACATGGTCTTGGTCATCTTCCTTTCCAGGAAAAGCAGGTCATCACTCCGACTGGTAAGCAGGTCCTCTGTTATATAGTTCCCTGTTTTCTTCGTGCATATAAGTTTTCTCTTCAAATGAATCCTGACAACAGCATGCTCTATCATCCTACTCGTATTTGGTATTCATCCTTGTTAGCTAATTCATTAGCTTGCACATGAGCAAAAAAACAATAACCATTTGCTTAGGATATCTAACTTAATATTCAAAGTTAGATCGAAAGGCTTGAACAATAGTTTTACTGGTCCAGGTAACGAGGTTGGTATGGTCAGAATACCAGCATAGTTTTTCCTTGTCTGACACACTAATTTGTACAGATGATCAGGCAAATTCTGTGCTAAAGTGTGAATTAGACTTGCTAGTGGCGTGTCCAGAATACCAGGATAGTTTTTCCTTGACTGACACGCACTAATTTATACAGATGATCAGGCAAATTCTGTGCTGAAGTGTGAATTAGACTTGCTAGTTGCTACAATGATTTGTCTCGCACTCACTTGTTTAGTGTTGCTTGCTTACTCGGAAATCTCTGGTTTAGAGTCATAGGAAAACTTTGGCACGGTTGGTACAAATAGAAAAAGGTGTTTGTTGACATTGGTTTATCTCCCTCCACGGTCCATAATTTTGCTCTCTAGTATTTGGTGGAGTTACATGTCTTTGTATTCTCTGTGGTCAGTACTTTATGTTTCCCTGGCACACTTTATTATGTATGCAGGATCTGTTTACACTGGTGTGGAGTTCTCCAAAAGGTTGTGTGGTATCTCAGTGATCAGGAGGTACCAACTTTTCCTAAACTTCTTTCCTTTGTATGCTTGTTTAGGTTCTAACCGAGTTAATGATTTAGGCACTCACAAAAGGAGGAAAAAATGGGCTTTGTATAGTATAACTATAACAGTGATATCATTATGTTGATAATACTATGCCCTAGACTGCCTATGAATTATTTTTTGCTGCATTGGCAACAAATGCTCTACACTTGGCCATATTGAGAACTTCATTACCAGTCTCATTTATCTTTGCTATATGATATTGTTCATTGCTCTTACAGATACAGTATGGCTGTTTTATCTATAAACATGCACTATTGAACCACTCATGCACTAGAATTCAATTCATCACTAGAACATCTATATGATTAAAAAACACCCACCATATATCCTTGAATAAAAATGTACTCTGCAAATGATTTGCTACAACTGCTTTCCAGTGGCGAAAGCATGGAGAATGCACTACGGGCATGCTGTAAAGGTATAAAGATTGGGAAGATTCTTATTCATCGGGAAGGAGACAATGGACAACAGGTCTGGTTTATGAACTTTTGCCATGTGTTTGGGCGAGTCAAATACTAAGATCTAAATTTCTTTGCAGCTCATCTATCAAAATTTACCAAAAGATATTGCAAATAGGCATGTTCTGCTGTTGGACCCCATATTGGGAACAGGTTCGTTTTTTATTCCTGTTCTCTGGACGGCACCACTTTTCATGTCAATTAAATCTCATAAAAATTTCAAATCACTCTTCCATGCACACGAGTACCATCTTGTCTGATTACATAAGCAAAATAGCAGTGCACTAGAAGTTTCTTGTTTTATTAAGGTAAACTTTGTATTGATTAGCCGATCATAGGTTTTATGCCACTTCATCTATAGACGGGATGGTTTTCAATGTAAATCAGTAAATGTCATCCCCTATATGTTTTCCATATATTGAGCTGAATAAATTTGAATACTTTTAAGACCCCAACATAGATTTGTGTAAGTCCGGGTATTTTGGCATCATTAATAAAAACAGATTTATTGAAATTGTGTGTTCTCTGTAATTTTGTTATAGGTTAAGTATGGTTTGCCTCATTCAGAGGGAACATGCTTTACTATTTTTATTTTATATTTCTTGTTATCTAACTTAATCTCCATTTTATCCTGATCAGGAAATTCAGCAGTTCAAGCCATCTCCCTTCTATTGAAGAAGGGTGTACAGGAAGCAAATATTATATTCCTTAATCTTATTTCAGTAAGTCTTATGAAGTGCTGGGCATTTTCTTGATTTTGCAAATGTATATAGCTAGTCTTTGGAATTTGTAGGATTGAAATATCATTTTTGCTATTCCCTAATGCAGTACCATGGTTTACTGGAATATATCTTTTAGCTTGGTTGTCTTCTAGCTTTTTCATCGAAACTGTCCATTGTAACTAATATCACAGAAGCAATTTTGTAACTTCATCTACTACTTAATGATAATCTCTAGGTAACAACTATATCTATGAAGTGTCTAATCAGACTCATTTATCATCATTGTTGTACATGATGGCATGTTAGTGCATAGTGGTTGGAAATCTAACTCATCAGTGGTATCTTTTTGCTCTCTTACAGGCGCCCCAAGGAGTCCATGTGGTGAGCAAGAGATTCCCTAGAGTGAAGATCGTTACCTCGGAGATTGAGTTTGGTCTAAATGATGATTTCCGTGTCGTACCTGGGATGGGCGAATTTGGAGACAGATACTTTGGAACAGATGATTATCAGTCATCGACGCCATTCTTCTGTGACGATAAAAATCATGTCAGGTGGGTTTCTATTTACTTTGCTACTAGCATGGCTTATTCCATTCAATTTTTTGCTGCTTAACTGTGGTTGAAACTGCGCAGGCTCTTGTGAGAGTTTGTCAAGACAACATCAAGCCATGGCTGCGGCATATTCTCCAATCTTTGAGAAACTTATATCTGCATTTTAGACTCTAGAATGCACATATAATGATGTTTTCTTTACCAAACACTGTACCATGGAACATACAGACAGAACCCCTCTTGATATAAGTGGATCCATTCCATTTTTGTCTGTTTCGAAAGCAGTGTCTTGTTCAGCCATTTTGGGATTACAACGTGTCCTGTTCAGCAGCCTCTAGAACGACTGTTTTTTCCTTCATCTAATAAATTAGGAAAAAAGGTGGTTTGGATCGGAACTTGCATTGCGAAGGATTTGATCATTCACATACAAGTGCATGTTGTGGCCTTGGGATCAGGAAATTATCTAGTCTTGTAAGGTCTTCAAAGGTAAATCCAAAGTAGTAGTTCGTCGGTCGGTGGTCCTCTCTTGTTCTGAATATTTTGCACAGATTTTGAGTCAGAAGTTGCACGGCAAAAAGAAATAAAAAAGCGATTTGTCAAATGGAGAACTGTTTGTAAGATAAGATGTGGGTAGGAATATTCTGCACAGATTTTGATTCAAAAGAAATATAAAAGCGATTTGTCAAATGGAGAACTGTTTGTAAGATAAGATGTGGGTAGGAATATTTTGCACAGATTTTGATTCAGAAGCTGCACGGCAAAAAGCTTTTTTATTTCTTTTTGCCGTGCAACTTCTGACTCAAAATCTGTGCAAAATATTCCCTCATTTGTCTTCTAGTGGAATTGTCAGAGGATGGTCGAGTTAGAGTTAGTAATCGTGTCAAGAGAGTTTTTATCTCTTATGAAACTTAATTCTTCTCACTTTTTATTAAAACGTTGTCATGTTATAAAAAAAATGCATGTGGCAGGCTACTAAATGTAAATTGAAACTCTTATAAATCTTCCACTAAAACTAGTCTAAGCGCAAGCCATGTACAGTCAGCAGCGGCTGTCATTAACCATGAGTGAAGGGTAAAAAATGATGCCCAGTTTATTGTATGTGACAGACAACAATAGGTAAATATTGGTCTTATATGTATAGAGACGTTAACCAATTAGTACGCTGATGACTTTCTTGTGGAATTATTGGTCCCAAAACTGTATTAGGCATGTTAGGGGCAAAGTAGTCTTTTTCGCTATCGACTTAACACCATATAATAACAGCTGAAAACACATGGTAGTGTCAAACCGGAAACCAAATTTAAACCTAGTGTCATCAAATAGGAAAGATTAAACTTTCAAAGGCCAATAAAGAAAGAGGTAACTTTGCTGGTGTCGAATACAAGTTTTTTCAGATGGAATGGAAGGGACCGCCGGGGCTGGCGAGCACAGCAGCAGCCACGAGAGTGAGCTCGCCAGTGTCTAAATATGGCATTTCTACAGTCGCCTTAAGAAAAAATTCCAGGATGCGGGCTCTGGAGCTTCTTTGGGACCTGAGGGACTTAAAAAGCAGAGGAGTATCTAGTCCATTGTGTTCCTTGAGATGGGAACTGAATTGGCAAAATCCTCATCTGCAATGGGTATCACGTGGAAAACGACAAAGCCGCAAAATCTAGAAGACGTGACTATGTTCTGTAGAACGATGCTAACTTCGTCCAGCAGACTCAGAATCAAGCGCTGTCGGTCCTGTTGGAAAGAAGATTCCAAATCCTACACCCTAGGAACTGAAACTCAAATATAGGAGTGTTTATTATTTTTACCCAATAAAAACACCCATGCCAATGTCTAAACATAGCATTTCTACAATCGCCTCAAGAAAAAATTCCAAGCTGCGGGCATCGCTAATTCTAGTGATGTCACTAAGAAATGCCAACACCGACACAGCCTAACACTCAGTGTGTCATAATAGAGCAGCCATACGACGCCCAGAGCTTCTTTGACTCCACGACATTGCCATGGTCCACAGAACGCCGCTGCAAGACCCTTCTGCACTCCGACGCATGGAGATCATAGGCTCAACTCCCCCAAACCGCCATGTACCCGACCTATCTCGGAATATAAGGGAGAGGTTGGATCCTAAGAGGGAGGACGATCCTAGATAGATCATTCGCATCCTCACCGTTTCACTCGAGCTCTGCACCAAGAGCAGAGCAACCTAAAGAGGGGCACCGAAGGCTCCTCCACCAAATCCGTCGTCTTCCTCCTCTCCGACGAGGGGAAAGGCTCCACCGGTGGTGAGGCGTTCCTAGGATTAGCACCAAGCCATCCCCTATCAAATCTCTCTTTCTCCTTTACACTCTGTTGTAACCTCCCAGATTTTAGGTGCTCTTGAGTATAAGGATCATCAACTGTTGGACGTAGGGTATCCATTGGCCCAAAACAGGATAAACCGTTGCGTCCCCTCTGTGATTCTTGTGTTCTTGAATGTCACACCCGATTTTAAGGATAAAATGAGATACATAATCTTATGTGCGTCCAGAGATCAGTCACACACATAAGTCGACAAATTATAAATAGTATCATCACAAGTGTTTATTACATCATGAATAATAAGACATAGTCTTCACATAAATGTAGCGGAAGTATAAAGAAAAATCTCTCGCGGAAGCTCCATATCACATGGACGTCAACTGGTTGACCACAAGTTTAGTAATCCTTAGAAAAGTTGTCATTACCATAGCCATCTGTTACCCATCTGGGATTTTTATCCAAATAATAAAAATAAACAAGCATAAGTACGTGTCGTACTCAACAAGTGTAACATAGGGTTCATGAGGCTCAAAAGGCTTGACACATGTTTAACAGCTTTTAGCTTTTAATTGTCACAATTTTAGCATAAGGGTAGCAACAAGTTGTTTCAATTTCTAAAGTAAAACACATGATCAATGTAAACATGAATAATGAATAGCATAAACGGATAATTCTTAGTGATCATCTATTCCATAAGGGTCCAATGCCGCTCGTGACCATGAGCACGACTGATATACCAATTTTATACTATGCAGAGGTTGTATACTTTCACTGTGAGTCATGATACCTAAATGCCCGGGTTAATTACTCCCAAAACACTTCTAAGGTGAGCAGGGAGGGTTCACTATGAAGCCTTTCAAAGGTTCGTCTAATAAGTTAGGGCCATTAGATTCACTCGGCAAACAGATAAAGGAAATCCCTGTCGAATGGCATAATTCCATCATGGTTATACGCATAAGAGTAGAGGCTGTCCTATACCCGATTCGTTAAGCCATTTTTATGCCAATAAAGGTAAGCGCTAACAAGCTAGATGAGGTCTTCATACTGAGCTGAAGCCAGAGCCATGTAGCCCTCACAACTGTACTATAAGTTCTGGATGTTCGCTTACAGATAAGTCCTTAGGGAGAAGAATCTGAAGCATTTAGAAAGTAGCTAAATACTCCAGCCCCCCTATTTCTATGTTGCTAAAAAGTCATGTTTTAATGTTTATTGCATATACCATTAGTCAAGTTACAAGATCATGGTTTAGTTGAGCACTAGCAAATCTACCCAATGCATATCCCATAGGAGACAAGGTATAAATTCAATTCTAGGGAGTCCCTATCAAGGTGACACATGCAACATGGATTAAATGTATTAAAGTTGATAGGAAATAAGGATAATTCCATGCTATACTTGCCTTGAACAAAGTGCTCCTGCTGATCCTGCTCGTCAAAGTAGTACTCTTATTCACCTACGAATTGCTCACCATCTATACTCGATAATCACAGCAACATACAAGCATCCAGAAGCAATCATGCATAGCAAACAAAAACTATAGATTAGAATAGTACACCAACAACATAAAATCAAGATGAAAAGTTTGTAAAATGAACCTACGTCCCGCTACGAACACACAGACGCGAAGATCACAAAAATCGGAGCTAAAACGAAGAAGTTACGAATTAAACAAGATTTTCTTTAATAAAATAATAGATTAAATATAACCTCAAATTTTAAAAGTTGAAAACATACCTAACAATAGTATGAACATGTAGATTATGGAATTACAAACCTAACGCAAGTTGAACGGATCAAATCGGAGTTAAAACGAAGATTTTATGGCCTACAGAAGGTAGTGGCAGTTCTGTAAATAGATGAAACTTATTTTTCGAATTTAAATAAATAAAATTAGATTTTAAACCGAGCCAGGGACTGCGGCCATAAAAATGAAGAAATACAGAGGCTCTTTAACAAAATTTCAGGGACGACGGGTTGAGATCCAAATAATTATAAGGGCGTTTTTGCAAAATAACAGGCGAAGGGGTATCTTAAGATCTGGACCGTTGGATCAGGATCGGACAACGTAGATTAGATCGGAGGGGAAAGGAAACGGCCAGCGAGGACGGTGGCGCCATGGACGGAGACGGCGGCGATCATGAAATACGGTCTACGAACCATGAAATAGCAAACCAAGGACACCAAGAGAGAGAGAGGAGATGATGGCGAGCTCAGCTAGGTAACTTACCAAGGCATGAAGTAGATGGAAGCGGCGTGTGGCTTCAGTGGATTGATCTCGACGGTGACGGCTAGGGCTAGCGGCGGCGCTGCAAGCTCGGGACAAAGCGAGGCGGCTTCGAAGCTTGGGAGGGGAGCGACACGATGCGGGCATCCGGTATTTATGGCCGAGAGTGGCTTGGGGCACAAGGCAAGGAGGGAGGCACGGGTGGCATAGACTCTCGACGGCGGTCATGTCCGGCGTGGAAATGATTGTGAGGGGGAAGACAACGCGGCTGACATGTGGGGCTAGGCCGTCAGCGTCACAAAGTGCGGAAGAAGGAAATGGCGCGGGCGCGCTGCTGGGCCGCTGTGGAGAAGCAGAGGCCATGTGGGCGAAGCTGGGTTGGCGGGGGCTGGGCCAACAGGCCGAAAGCAAGGGAGGAAGAAAAACCCTTTCTCTTTCTCTTTTCTAATTTTCCAAACCAATTTTGAAACACAAATTCAAATCAATTTAAAGTTTGATTTCAAACCACACAATTCAAAAATAATATGCAGCAACATGAATGCATAGACATGTATATAGACCTATATTTGATATTAATT